GTACTACTTACTACTCTCTCTCTCTCTCTCTCTCTCTCTCTCTCAGGACAAGGAAGATCAGTTAATTTACCTCGAATTGTCATCCAGTAAAAAGGAATTGCTGACTGCTGTGTTCGAGTCCTCTGTCATCAGCACTCTCATGCTGGAAATTACCTGAAGAGATAGAAAAAGTAAGAAAATGAGGAAATCAAGAATTTGGTTTCCAAACTAAGTAGGGAAAGGTAAAGTTAGGCAATGCAGGTTTTTAGCACTTACACCAGGGGAGACACTATGGGTGCCATACTTGTCATCCCAATACAGTGTACATATTCGATAAAGCTGTTGCACGCTGAGAACCTGGAGAAAGCCATGACAGTGAGCACTAGGTATCAAAGATTGCTATGAAGAATACACATCGCATGTATAGTGTGGCGCGAAAAGATCAAGCTATCCACCACCTGTTCTCTACAGAAGGTGGAGATGAGCCACTATTCTGCTGATGGACTTGAAGCACAATAGTGAACTCATCTCCACCGCTCTATGCTAAAGGATGGTGGATCGATGGTAAGCATAGCCCCCACTATTACACAGCATGTTCAACATATTCTCCCATTTTCTGTGATTGTGCATGCACCAGAGAGAGAGAGGGAGAGTCCATATTTGTGTATTTGAGTGAGCTAGTTCTTTGGATGTTTGGCTAAATGTCTGCAGGCATGCATGTGCAAACATGCATGAAACAAGACTCATCTTGGTATGATCTGTCTGCATTTTTACATGTACGTGTGCATATCTGGGCATTTCTATGTGTTAAGCGAGAGATTTTGTACTCACTGGGCAGAGATCATTTGTGATTTCATCAAAGGAAACTTTAGTTTTCTGGTGTATAACCTGCAGATATATCGATATCAACATGGGCATCAATTATACATGTAAAACCATGACAGGAAGACGTTATTGATTAAACAAAGAAACAACCATAAAATGGCTTTAAAATATTATCTCAAAAAATTGGGAAAATATTTCTTGTGCATGTGTGCCTTCTTCTTTTTGAACAAAAGACAACTATGTCGATCACTAGCTTGATCAATATCTCCTTCAACCACACATGGTGTGAGGCCAAAAAGTTGCCAATGGCCTGGCCAACAAGGCGCACTCAACGTGAGCCTCATCATCCACACATAGGAAACGAGAACCAACGAAACTGTCCCTAGCTCTCCCCTCAGGCATTCTTCAAGTCGCCTGAGTTCCCTCCTTACTTTGTAAATCGTGTACACATGCACAGTGGTGTATAATTCGTAAAGCATATTCTTACTTAATACTAGTCTATTAAAAAAAGGCCACAAACTGTATATCCCGAAGATCAAAAGAGTAGAAAATTAGCAAGAGCAAAAGCAGGTTCTCTTTCTTCTTCTTTTTCTGGTAATAAAATGCCCGTCTCTCTTTTTTTTTATTGTAGTCAGATACTATCATGCAAAAATCATAGGCCTAAATATTCCTAAAAGAGACACGATTGCCAAGAGAAATTCAGGAACAGAAACAACAAATGAAAAGGAAGTAGCTCAAGTCCCATACACAATTCAGGGCTTTTAAAATACTCATTTTTGTCACTACATAGAAAAGATATTGTAAATAACAAAATATTTTCTTCACTCATAGAAAAGATACTTCTTAACTCATTATGAGCATTCTGACCAAAAAAACAAGAAGCATTGCCTTAATAGGGAAGAACTCATCCATCACATTCACAAGGACTCGAAAAAGATTATCCATATTGCACGTACCAAAAAGCCTACAGCTTGTCTTATGTGCTTCAGTTCATCCCAAGATGATCCTGCAAACTGTGTCAGGCAATATTTCAACAGTGTATTCAATAAACAGAAGAACAATCTTGCAAACATATTTTAAAAAGGGAAAAATTTATATAAGGTTGCAACCTAAAAGATGTACAATGAAGGTGCACCTCAAAAATCCATGGGACTGTTTTGATGTTAGAAAAACCTCTAATTGATCATCGAGATGTATGAATATGAAAACAAAAAAGATTTTTGAGTCTTAGAACTGGTGCATATTGCAACACATTATCTGGACCGTCCATTCTCAATATTTTCATATGTTTATAGATCTACTTGATTTGAAGCATTTTTGGAGTCTAAAATTTTATAATTAGAGATGAAAATGGATTCTCAAGACATCCAGATAACTTTTGACACCAAAATTACATCTATGATAAAATTTGGAGATATGCCTAACTTTGATTGTTTAAGGATGCAACCTTATACAAACCACACCATTTTAAATATCAATCAATAAAAAACAATGTAGAAATTGTTCTTTTAATGGCCCCAAAGTATCAGTTCCTATTGGGATCCCAAGCCAACTGTGATTTAGGACATGTACTACATTCAATTAGTGGCCAAGTCAGATCCCGATATGGAAATTAATTCAAAGATGCATACGAAGGACAACATATATTCAGACCTCTCCTTTTGCATGGCAACACCAAAGCTCCATTTCAGCTAAACCAGCTTTCACATATTCTCCATTGCTAAACGTACAACATTCACGCCGCAATAGGAGACTGCATGACATTCAGGCAATCAATGAACATAATCAATAGAGAAATTCGAGGGGATGAGGGAGAGGAAATTAGTTGCCAGAAAATGCATTAAACAAATTATTGGGGATTTGTAAGCCTGTAAGAACAGAATGTAGAAGACAACACCAACACAAAACAAAACACATGACTACCAACTTGTGCAACATTTATAAGAACTGAAAGCCATCAAAAAGCGCACAGGTGCAGGCAAAAAGGTGCTCTTGGCTTTCCAAAAGGTTTGCAAAGAGCACGTAGACCACTATATGGAAAAAGCTAACAAACACATGGCAGCTATAACGAATAATAATATAGGTGGAATCTCAGCCGTTAAATCTTCATCGGATAGATCAAAATACATATCACTATCTAAATTTTAATCTTTTTTCTAGAAATCGGAACATGATGAAATTTTGGGCATGTGTACTAAAAAATAGGGCGCACAAAATGTATTAAAAAAATATTTTTCAAAATATAAAATAACCAAAATATCCCTGAAAATGACGGGGGTAATTTGGTTATTTTAAATTCTTGAAAGTATTTTCTTATACTTTTATATGGTGCACAATAGTGTTAAGCATATTTACTTGAAAGTATTTTTATAATTTTTCTAGAAATCGGATTATGATGAAATTTTGGGCATGTGTACTAAAAAATAGTGCCCACAAAAAATATATAAAACAAACTTTTTTCAAAATATAAAATGACCAAAATAACCTTGAAAATGATAGAGGTAATTTTGGCATTTTAAAATTCTTGAAAGTATTTGTTTTATATGGTGCACAATAGTGTTGAGTATATACATCCAAAATTTCATCTTAGTCAGATCTATAAAAAAAAGATTCAAATTCAAATAGTGATATGTATTTTGAACAACCTAATGAAAATTCGACACCTAGGATTCCACCTATTACTTATATTATTATTCATTATAACTATCTCAGTCAGATCTATAGAAAAGATTAAAACTCAAATAGTGATATGTATTTTGAACAACCTAATGAAAATCCGATCGCTAGGATTCCACCTATTACTTATATTATTATTCATTATAGCTGCCAGTGTTTAGTCGCTTTACTTTATCTATATATATATATATACTAGCTCACATAATAGTATAAGCCCAATGGCCCAGATTGAATCTGGGCGGATCTGACGGCCTAGAGTATTTGTATTTTAGTTTTTTTTCTACAAATCCAAATAACTTGAAATTTTAGGTGTATGTTCTTCTCATCAAACCGCACCTAATAAAAATATGAAAAAAATAATCCGCATAATAAAAAGACCAAAATACCCAGAAATTTACAGGGGTATTTTGGTGACTTTTTTCATGTAAAATATTTTTTTAATA